TTCTTATACTTAGCTAGTTCTGCTTCCAGCTGTTACTTTCTGTTTATTAATAAAAGGAAAATTATTAAAACCTTTTTAAGCAATTAAGCTTAAGCTACTAATGATGCTTATCATGTCATTGTGATTTTTAGATAAGGATTTTCCACAAAAAAATAAATGAAATAGATCTTTTATTTTCAAAGTGGATACAAATAAGCACCCCAAATTATTTCACTTTGATTAAAACTACTATGATATCTGTAATATCTTAATAAGCATCTTATTGTAATAAACTGTATGATATTAAATGGAGTGATCTATTTTTTAGGCTGACACAGGGCAGACTCCAGATGACAGGAGCCGGCAGTCTTCAGATTTTTAACGTCCAGAAATCCGATGCAGGGACGTACTCTTGTCGGCCCAGTAACATGGAGGACTCCATAGACTCGGAGGCCACACTGACTGTCCTAGGTAAAATAATCCAGCAGGATATTCTACTACATTTTTTATTTCCAAGTCATCAACGAAAAATCTGTTGGTTACAAATGATTATAGTAAATTTTCATGACCATTACACGAAATGTCTATTATCTTGAGTTCATCTCTAAAATTTTAACAAAATGGAAGCATTTTATAAGCTGATGAGTTGCTCTCTAGCATTTAGCATGTGTAACAATATGTCCATAGCTTCTTAAAAAACATCTTCACAGCAAGGACTTCTTTTGTTCCGGAAAGAGAATTGTAATTCCCTTTCTGTTGAAATTGTGGGTACAGATCAATCACATAGAAAAACATAGCAGTGTTGTTGCAGGCTTTTCAAAGTGTTGCATTTCATTCCTTGCAGATTTTTATTGGTTGTTTTTCCATAATTTCAGTTCCACCCAAATTTCTGGTCAAGCCCGTAGATCGGCTGGCTGAGGAGAAGACGGACGCTATTTTTCGTTGTGAACTGGACGGTTCTCCTAGCCCAGGAATCTATTGGACAAAGGACGGCAGCGCCATAGTAACGTCTGATTACGTCATTGAGGACGGGAGCGAGCTCAGGATTCTGGGATTGGTTCCGTCTGACGCTGGCTTCTATCAGTGTCATGGAAATAATGAGCTAGGGAGTATACAAGCTATAGCTCAGCTCGTGGTATTACCAAATGGTAAGTTATAGATAGAAAGACTAACTCATATAAGGCTGAAAAAAATATTAATATGTTTGTTAATCCTGTAACATTTCCAAAAAAGAAGGGTTGGTAGGTCAAGAATTTTTTTCTCAACAAAAATAACCCAGCTTATTGTTTAAACAAACAAAAAAAGTGATCTTGGTTTCTACAGAACTTTGAATACTAAGAAGTAAATCTGGGTATTATGCTAACCATTTTTGAATTATCTATACATGAACTTTACCATTCCCTTCTATTTACAGGCCCTATTTCCTCGACAGACAGCTATCAGTTTTTTGGTCCGTACTCCAGTAATGGAGCGAATCTACCCAGGGAGCCGTCCGATCTGTCAGCGGCCATCATATCCAAACGCTTCATCACGCTCCGCTGGACTCAGCCCAGTAATGGACAGGTGACCGGGTACTCGGTCTTCTGGAAAGAACAGGGGTCAACAAGGTAGGGTCAAGGGTTAAAGGGTCAGGGATAAAAATAAAGTTATGCACGATGTATTGATTTAGTTGCTATGTCATTCAAAATATAATGTGTATGGAATCTTGAAAATCCTTTGATTCATCACAATAGCCACAAAAAGGATATAATTTGTACCTTTAAATAATTATATTTAAATGTTATCAGATGAAACAGGATGATCTCTCAATACTGTATGTGAACTTTAAAAAGCGGGCTTCATATTTTAGTGGCTTTGGCTCAGACAACAATGCGCTAATTCATGAACACCGCTAAGAAATCATTTACATATACAATACACTTCAGGGCTCGACATTAACTTTTTTTCCTACTTGTCCATTCGGACAAGTGACCAAGATATTTACTTGTCCGAACTTCAACTTCAATTGTCCGAAAATTTTTCAATGAATGTCTTGTTTTGTCAACTTGAAAACAATTAAAAAATTAAATGTACTTGATTTATAAGTGTTGTTATTGATAAATAATACAAACACATATAAAACTAAATTTTATCTAGACTTCCTGTCCTGACAATAGCATAAATGTTCGCAAGTGAATCTGTAATATCAATCAAATATATTCCAAACTCGCAAACGTCGTGAGATCCACGCCATGCAATAGTATGGCTGCAATTAGTGAACATCGATCTCGATCAAGTGTGAACTTACATATCGTTTGATATCGGGATCGAAATTCAGGTTTATGTACTGCTTCCGTTTATTGCCTGACGTCACGGCGTCAGGCAGTATAAGGATTGATATTTCCAAGATCCGAAAATGTGCGACCATATCTAAAGAGCTAGATTTTGTGCAAGCTGATTTACATTGGAATTCTTTACCTGCATTTTAAAAGAAACAGTTTTCAGAAAAAAGAAAGATATTACTGATGCGAAATACTACAGTGTTTACTTCCTTTAATCTTTTTGCATGGAACAGATTATTCCATATGATTTGCCGTTTCAACATGTCCGTGTATCCTTTTTTCTGCATTTCTATACTACTGGATCAGTCCATTTATATTCTACAAAAGGGGTGAATCACTCTTTTCGCGCCAAATATCACTAGTAAGCTATCTTCGCACCTTTTCCTTGGATTGTTCTATTGTATGAATGGGTGTGCTAACTTCGGAATCCATGGAATTAAATAAAGTTTGTCCTTTTAACTTCCTTCTAATGCTTCAGAAATTCTATCTACAAGTTTTATACCACTCTTTAAACAACAGAATTTATCGTATACATCAGTATACATGGTACATGGACATTTAACACTAAAGAAATGATGTTTCTAATTTGTTTACCGATCCCGCGGTTGGTTTATTCCATAAATGGACGAGTCCAGTAATAATAAACAACGCAGTTCACGCCATCGTCTCCAGATGCATGATCTATTATATGTCTTTGTTTAGATGCACACGATAAATAAAAAAGTAGTGAATAATCTTGGATATTTCTTTCTACAAAGCCTAACTATTGAATTTAATTACTTATTTCATTCTCAATATATCATGTATTATATGATAGTGTCATCCCCCTCCTCTTTTAAGAAAAAAATAATGAACACACATTACTACTGTTTACTTCAGAGGAGAAAATACACTCCAACAAAATGTGTTTTTAATTATATCCATCTTTTAAAATGTTCACAATGCGTGATTTGATAACAGATTTTATAATAGGTGTTACAATTTAGCTTGAAATCAATTTAGATCCAAGGGCAGATCACTCCACTTGCAGACCCCCCCCCCCTTCAAATACAAAGTTCTTTAGTATGCAGTGTAGAGGTGATTCTTCTACAAGTTCAGTAAAATCAAGATTTCAATTACATAAGGTTCTCAAAATATAAAGTTAGGATATTTTTTAAACCCACAAAGTATTGCTCAAAAGGGTTATCACTCTTCATGCAGATAAATTGATTGATTTAGTCAGGCAAGCTTTTTAAAAAGCTGTTACTTGTATTCAATAAACTTTACAATAGTTTTTTTTTTAATTATTATTATTTGAAGACTTCTTTACATAAAAAATCACTTGTCCAATCGGACAAGTGCCAAGCAATATTCACTTGTCCGAAATTTTTTTTCATTGGTACCGGACAAGCGGACAAGCGTTAATGTCGAGCCCTGCACTTAACATGCTTAACGGACATGTGTAGCACTAATTATACCCCCCGCAAACGAAGTTTAGGGGGGGTATATTGGAATCACCATGTCCGTCTGTCCGTCTGTCTGTTCTTACGAGAGGTACATTGTGGGGTAAAATTAACGTATTTTCCAGCAGTGTGGGGTTTTTTGGGTACTGTGGGGTTAACCCCATAATGAAGAGGTCTAATTACGTTCAAAATTACTCTATGAGGTCGAAAAACCTAAAATTAGATTTAACCTCACAAAGACTTTGTCCAAATTTTGGACATGTCCTTAGCCCAAAACGCTCAGACATTCAGAAATCTGCTGTTTAGAGGAGTTCAGTAATTGAATCGAGGAGTTCCGAATACCTGAGCATGCGCATATATTTAAAACTAACTGCGCATGCGCAGATTACGGAAGTAGTTGTGTTTGGACACTTTGTATTAGCAGTGAGGAAATTCGGAAACACAAAAAGCAAATGCAGTAAGTCTTACTATTTTGTTGCACCACATTGAAAAAAAGCTTTGTAAATTGTTTGACATGCTTCATACGTACATTATGCAGTTGTAGAATTTATTTAAAGTCAAGGAAAGGACATCTGTAGTCCACATAAACACATACCTATTGAAAACGGGCTTTTGTGAAAAAAATTATAATGAATGCACTGATAGTTCTTTTTTTAATCAGAGGTCTGCAATGAAAATCGACCGATACCCGGGGGTCGGGCTAGTGGTTTTCTGCAGGAAGGTCGCCCCGTTGGCCAGTAAAAAAAGATAATATTATTTATACACATGCAATACGTGCAAAGCACACCTGGTACGTATTTTCACTCGTTTTTTGCTATAAAAATCCAAACCATTTAAATTTTCCATATAACATGCTCCAACTGTCAATAAATCTCCATAATTTAATCCGTATTTGAGTACTACTTGGCTTATTTACTTCAAAAAACGATCGTGTTTTTTCTTAATTCGAATTTTCTCTATATCTATGGTAAATACATGCAGATGTCTCATAACATAAATACATGTGATTCTTCCGACGGGAGACAAAATCTCTGGATTTTTCACGCCTGTTCCGCCCCTCCCGATTAATTTTTAAATCTTCCGTGTTTAAATTTTTTCAAATTGAATATTTTTGGCTTTAATTTTATCCTGTTTCGTAGTATAATTGCTCTCTCTCTCTCTCTCTCTCTCTCTCTCTCTCTCTCTCTCTCTCTCTCTGAATTCATTCTAGATACGTACCAATTGTTTATCTACTCTTCACACATTTGTTTACATGTACTTGTAATCGTACCTTAATCTATAGAGAGAAAATCAGAATGGAAAAATGGAATTAACAATGTCACTGCAATAAATTTTCACAGCAATTAGGCTTTGTAGGAATCAACATGGGGTTGTATAATTAGGTTGTAAAATTTAGTGGTATATCAATTTGATAAATGACAATCAATGTTTATAAATGAGTGCAGGACATTTTAATCAGTTGTTAAAATACCCATTATGTCACATTTTTTCACATTCGCTTGTGTAATTATGTGCCCGATAATAAAGTTCACCTATTAAAGAAATTAAACAAATTACCTTTAGATACGTATATAAAATTATATAACTCTGTTTGTGTTAATGGAAAAAATATAATTGTCATGTAAGATCAATTTGTACTTATTTTTCAAGATCGACAATTGAAAATTTAAAAGAATTAAATCACAATTAATAGTTTTTCCATAGCTAAACTTAAAGAAATTCAAGCTTAAAGCTACATTTTGTAATTTACAATATTAATTCATAATTACTTTGAATATTTACAGTGAGAGTATGTGACTTAGCTAATACAGGGCTATCAGTATTTTCACACCTGTTAGATTTTGATTCCGTGTAGAAGCTCTAATTGCAATTTTTGTCAAAACAAATGTTTTGTATAGCATGATTATCTCGTGAATTTCACTATCAGGAGACGATCGATAGGGATTAGTTACGCTCTACTGCACTTGACACCTGTGTTGTGTAGAATGATTTTAAACTGCGTAAATACAAATCTTTGGTCAATTGAATAATTTTTTGTGTGTGTCTGCATGTTAGATAGAAATTCTGACAGCTTTATAAAAATAATATTAAAAATTTACCAGACTCTAAAAGCTTCAGCAAACTAGTTGATCGAGGATTAATTGAAGGGGGGGGGGGGGGGGGGGGGGGGGGGGGTTGGTTGGTTACACTGCTGATCATTACCTGAACATATGATAGTGAAGTTTTTAAATGGATTTTATTGACACTTACTAAAATAAATTTTCATACTTTTAATTCACCATTAAACTGTCTTTTAATTAAAGCTTGTGTATTTTTTCTTATTAAAAAAATAGATAGTAATAAGGCACATGTATTTCTTCTTGAATGATACTGTAATTCAATTATCATATACTTGAATGTAACAAAAGAACACTCTGAGTTCCCGAAACTAGTCAAAAATATGTCGGACAATTGTCTTGTAAATATTCAAAATTCACCGGACAGTTGTAAAATTTACCTGACATTAATTTTTTGTATGTAAATTTAACATATTATAGGATTGGAAATTGTGTCGATATAATAAATAATATGTGTAAATAAAAAGATGGCAAATGCAGATTTAAAAAAAAAAATGATTAAAATATTTTCTATAAGGCCTGTGTATGCAGGATTTGACGTCGCCGACGGCGTGTGATGACCAACGCTTAATTCATCGTATAAAATTATTATGTCCTTTCTGACAGATTTTTAAAAATTTTTTTTTAAATAAAATCTGCAACATGACAACTCTTGGTTGATTGTTTGGAATTAGTGGGAAATATATGTTGTTTTCCAGGCTTTTTTCTTTTAGATTTAGGATTTTGG